CAAGAACCTGACTGTTCTGAGAGTTGCTAGAAACTTGCTTCATGGTAAAATCCCTAATGAGGTTGTTCTGCTAAACCAACTAAGAGTGATTGACCTCTCTTCAAATCAAATTTTTGGTGAGTTGCCAGCACAACTTGGAAAATTGTCCAACCTGTTGGTTCTAAATCTGAAAGATAACATGCTTTCAGGACAGGTGCCAGTGGGAATTGACGGCCTGTCCAGCTTGGAGAATCTAGATCTCTCTTTCAACATGCTAAGCGGGCCAATTCCATATCAAATCGGAGAATGCTCTAAACTTCGATTTTTAAGCTTGGGCATGAATAGGTTAAACGGGACAATCCCCTATCAAATCAGAAATCTTGTAGGTTTACAAGACTTGCTAGATCTGGGCTATAATTTGCTTTCTGGAGGGTGTTGTGTGTGGTCTCACACTATGTGATGGTGGGACCACCACATTAATTTTCAAGTAATGGCTGTCTCTTGGTATTAATATTAATGTGGTTCAGGTATTGTAGCGGTAGAATTGAAAATAGAAGATAGGAGAAGAAAACCAAAAGAGAAAAGGAGAAGAAGAGGCAGTAGAGCAACCTGCGTTCTTCCTTCGATTTCCAGCTCGTTCATCGTTGGATCGGGCTGAGATTTTGACAACAACTTCTAGACACGTTGATCTTTATTCTAACGGTCGAATCGAAGATTGGTGGTGTGGAAGGTGACCATTTTGACAGAAAACAGGGCTGTCAGTATTGTGAGTTTTTCTCAAATAATTCTCCTTTAATCTTGTTGTAATCCGAGAATAAGTTGTTCTTGATGATATATATGTTGTATCCCTTAGTTGAATCTGAGGAAGAATGATTGTGAACCCATTATTTGTTGATAGTGAAAGTTTTTAGGTGGACTACAGTCCCGTGGTTTTTCTCGCATCGGGTTTTCCACGATAAAATCTTGGTGTTGATTTTGTGATTATTTTCATTATATTTGATCATTGTTTGATTCTGTTTTACTGCACAAAGAGGGAAAGAATTGGGACTTGTGAATTGTGAAATGTATTCTGCTGAATTGATCCGGGTAAATTGGTGCCCGGTTGTTCCTAGTTTTCCCATGTAAGTGGTATTAGAGCCTGGTTGTGTAGATTGAATTTCTTGTGCAGTTAAAATGAAAAAGGAAGATTCGGGCATGATAAAGCTTACTTCCTCAAACAATGATGGAAGATCACTTATATTGTAATGATTTGGCTTTGCTGATTGAATGTAAAGGAATAAAGCCTGATGATATGGATGATGCAAAATGGAATGAGCTAAATAGAAAGGCTACTGCTAATGTTAGAAAATGGGTATCTTCTAAGTCCATTAATCATATCTCTCAAGAACATGATTGCTATACAGTTTGGAAGATGTTGGAAGAAACATTTGCCAAGGAGAGTGCACAAAACAAGATTTTTGTAATTAGAGACCTTATGAATTTGAAGTATAGAGATGGTGAAGATGCTTCAGTGCATACAAATATATTCCAAAGGTTCTTAAATCAGTTGTCATTGATGAATCTGGAGTTAGCCGATGAAATGCAAGCATTAATCCTACTAAGTTCATTGCCGGATAGTTGGGAGACTTTGGTGGTGTCACTTAGCAATTCTACTCTGAATGGGAAGATCACTTTGAAAACAGTAAAGGATTGTATCCTCAATGAAGAGAAGAGAAGGAAAAGCACAAGCACTTCCGAGTCTCATGTACTTGTTACAGAAAGTCGAGGGAGAAGTCCAAGCAGGTTCTCTCATGGCAAACAAGATAGAGAATCCAGCAATAGAAAAGGCAAATAGAAGCCAAGAGGAAGATCTCAGTCAAAGAAGGGTTTTAAGTGTTATTATTGTGACAAGCCTAGGCATATGCAAAAGGATTGTAGAAAGTATAAAAGAGATAAAA